TGGCAACCATAGCTCGTTGGCGGCAGCCTGACGACAACAGCACAATGGTGGTGGTCCGGTGCTGTTGACGGTGATAGTTGAACAGCAGTCTCATGACAGTGGTCAAACAGCAATGATGTGGTAGTCACGCAATGGTGATTTGGTGGCGACGTCAGCGGCGAGACGATGGTGTTCTGGCAACGACGATGAAAATGGTCGGTCGACGACCAGACGAAGTTTGATCCAGCGGTGATGATGGTGGTAGCGAAGCAATAGTGGTTCGGCGACTATGATGGCCAAAAGGTAGTGGTCTCGACGGCAACGACCAATGTTGCTAAGAAGTGGTTGTTCAAGTGCAGTGAGGATCAGATGGAGATGGTCCGACTGTGTTGACAGGCGAGCGTTGGTCTAGTGGCAGTGGCAATCAAACAGCAGCGGGCCCAATGACGGCAGTACCCGCGACGGTGAAGCTCGTGAACCCTTATGATCATGAAGCTCTTTTAGCCTTCTGTCTAGGTCCAACCCCAGGTCTAAGTCCTCTGCTTCATGAAGAGAACAGGAGTCTATTTATAGAATTTGTGAGTGACATCCTCCTTAAATATTGCATAAATCTAGACCACTCCATCGAACAACCCAAAATAATTCCCTTAATTGGATGTTTATTATAAGTCTGTATAGGCTCATTAGATTCAACTTATCAAGATACTCAATTTAATTATAAACTTGTTAGATTTGAAGATCATTTGATTCCCAAAATATATCTTAAAGCTTCCCATTATGCTCTAAATGCATGATCTGGGCTCACTTAGATTTTTTCTCATTTAATTTTTTTCACTGAGACACTTTATTTAATCATAAATTGAAGTGTGAGCATTTTAAAATTAAAATTTTAAAGCTTCTGATTCAAATGTGCTTTTACATACGTGCGAATGATGTTTTAGGAATATTCAAGGTTTAAAATATTTTTGCTCTTATTTGAGTAGTTTTGTTAATCATGCTCCCAATAATAAAAAGAACATTTACATACATAACATTCAATTCTTAGGTATTTACATATCTAACACCTAAATTTCAATGTTTAAATACATCTTTATGCACGAGAACGTGTATTTCACCCTTTAAAAGTTAAAAATGGTCATAATTTTGAGGCGATATGAAAAATCATGGCGGTATAAATGTAAAAATAAATAAAATATAGTAATGTAAGTACATGTAAATTGACTGATATGTATGTAAATGCCCCTAAAAAAATCATACAACTCAAAATTTATTCCCAATAGAAGTCATTTTATTTTATTTTTTTTTTTAGTTTTAAAAAATTATGTTCGTTGTGTGATTTTAAACATTTTTTTTTATAATAAATCAAACTAATTTTTAAAGCATTTAAAATACTTGTTGGATGTTTTTAAGTGTACATAAACAATCAAGTCTGCCACAGCTGCAACCACCGTCAGAGTCACCAACAACACCATCAGCTACCACTACTACCACCACAAGCCGTAGCTGCCGCCCAAATCAAAATCACAATTTGCAATCTGATTATGCGAATTGATCTTTACCAATCTTGCCAAATAAATTACACACTCTCAATCCTTTGAATTGTGATAAGAACGAAAACATAGGATTTTACGAGTTCAATGGTATGAACTAACCTCTTCGCTAGCTTGCCGTCAACAGTTCTTTTACTTGATCCCCTATGATTTTCCTGTACGGTTCAGAAGGAATGCGAGCCAATATCTCGGAGCCAAAAGACAAGAGGAGAGCATCCCTCGCTGTTTTCGGGTCAATTCCTCTTGCCTGGAAATAGAAGAGCTGATCTTCTTCGAGGTCGCTAATGGCAGCACCATGCGAACATTTTACATCATCTGCAACAATCTGTAAATTGGGTTTTACATTGACAGTGGCCCGAGGCGCCAAGAGCAGAGTTCTCGTGAGCTGCCCAGCATCAGTTTGCTGCGCAAATCTGTCCAATAAAATATGCTTAACTCTAAAGAAGGTTGAATTGTCAACAAATATTTGAACAAAGAAAATAGAAAAATTTACATACATACCACATCTCTTATGTATTAACCATCTAATACCTAAATTTTGATATTTACACTTATAAGACTTTGGTGTCATAAACATATGCGTGAAAAGAAGTATTTCAATTTGATAAAGTTAGTAATTATAGTATTTTTTATGTGATATTAAAATTTGGAGTGTTATGCACCTAAATATGAAAATTTAGGTTTTAGATATGTAAATAATTATAAAAATGTGTGGTATGTATGACATGCATGTAAATGCCCCCTCCCCCCAAAAGAGAAGAAAATTTTCCGTCTGGATGTGCTGTCCAGACAGCCAACCACCAGGCATCACGTCGGCATACACCTCATCGGTGAGTGACGTTACGGTCGGTGGTTGGCCTTCCGGACGAAATACCTTTTCCAAAAAAAAGGCCTACTACATACATAGCACCCAAAATTTTCATATTTACCTATCTCACACTAAATTTTCATAATTACAAATATTCTATGAAAAGTAGCCCTCATTATCACCTTTTCATAGTCAAATCCATATTTTCATCCATAGGTAAAGTGTTATACGTGTAAAAAAGAAACTTTGGGTGTGGATAGGTAAATCCATAAGAATTGGGTGCTATGTTTGTAATTTTCCCAAAGAAAAATTAGAAAAGTTTTAAAACGATCCCCTACTTTTTTAAAGGGTCATTTTAGTTTAGGAATATTTACATGCATGTCACACAACTCTTATGTATTTACATATCTAATACCTAAACTTCAATTTTTGCATATTTGCCACCCTACATATGCATGAAAAAAGATGTATTTCACTTTTTTTTTATAGTTAAAATAATGATTTTTTTTTTTATGTGACATGAAAATTTTGGGTGGTATTAAGGTAAAAAGTAAAGTTTAGGTGTTAGATATGTAGATACATAAGAAGAGGGCGGCATGTATGTAAATATCCCTTTAGTTAAGAGCCTATAAAATTGTCAAATTAATACCAATCTCTTGTAATATGAGCAAAAATAATTCTCAGACTATTTTAAAGCGAAGACTGATAAAAGGCTGTGGAACTATAGGAAAATTCTAATACATGTTACAGGCAAAAATAAAAATAAGGCGAACGGAGGAGCACCTGTTGACCTTTATGTTTCCATCAAAAACAGCATGTCCCGAAGAGTGAGAAACTACGCACTTATGAAGCTGACGAGAATATCCTCTTGGATGATCCAGGACTAATTTACTATGAAGATCTTGTATTTGATCACTATGAGCTACGTAAAATGCTGAAAGTTCAGTTGTGGTATCAGAACCCAGTTGCTCAACATGAAGATTGTGCCTGCTTAATTTTCCCCCAGTACTGATATCCACAAGCTCATAGCTGCTGCATTTTTCCTGGAGATGATAAAGCTCTTACACATCAATAGCACAAAGAATGGTAAAATAAAGCTACGGCACACATATACAGGTAACTCATTCATTTGGTAAAATTAAGACGACCGAGAACAACTTTAATTTAATATTCACAGACAGAGCAATATTTCATGTTGTGTTTATTTTCGCTCAATATTCACGGTGTCATTTGGTCTCTTTAATCGCTTATCCGAGAATCTTCTAAAATCAACAAACTCCACAGGCCTCTATTTTGTGAATTGTTTGTGATGAAATATTATCTTAAGAGAAAAACAATTCCATATAATAATGAATGAATATTGCCACCATCTTTTTGGCTGACCCCATATAAAAAATGATGAACCTTCTTGAAATTATTCTCTCATCCATTTGGTAACCAAAACTTTCATTTGTCACACAGATGCACTCATGGCAGTGAGTTCTACAATGTAGTCTATTCAGATCACTTGTAAGAAACATTATTATTGTCGACCAACACCATATCAACACCTTTGAATCATTGTAGATAGCTCGAATCAGCCTTGTGTAAGCAAGTCGATCAAGACTGCAAAGTAGGAACATGTTCTGTACAGAATTTTATTATGGAATGATGTGATGTGCATTGTCCATTATTGAAAACAACAAGGCCTGTTTTGGATAATGGCCCTAGAAAACCACATGGAAATTTTAATATGTAGCATACAATTTTAATGTATTTACATATCTCACATGTAAACTTTCAAATTTACACACAATGCACTTTGGTGTTTTAAACTTATGCATGAAAATATGTATTTCACCTTTAAAAGGTGGTAATAGTGCAATTTTTTATGCGAGATTAAAAATTTCAGTGCTATATGTGCAAATATGAAAGTTTATGGGTGATATACTTAAATAAATAAGAATTGTGTGCTATGAATGTAAATGTCCCGATTTATAAATAGACACTCATTCTAGTTCATTAGCATGTTTTCTCTACAATGAAACAACTACAGAGAATCTATCCGAGCAACATTCCTCCATCACCGGCTGCTATTACTGAAAATCTTGAATAAAAAACACATCTCATCCATGGCTGTCCGATCACCAATATAACCGTGTGGGACAACACCTCGTATAATAATCTTGAAATCGTTTCACATACAAGGCTGGTGTCACAACCCACCCCTGCCCCTAAAAAGATCTACACCACAATCATTTTTAAAAGCAGATATGAGAAATATCTACTGGCTGCATCACAACAGTCTTCTGCAATACCGTACCAAAACCATCTCCAGTACGACCAGCATTGCAAACTTAGTCCTCGAGGCCTAAGTTTTAACTAACCTCCTCAGACCAATACCCAAGATGCATACACTTCCCAAAAATATGTGCCAAATGTGTTTCCCTTGAGATCTATGTTGATCTCCTAGTATACTATTGCCACAACTACCACTAGTTATGCTGACCATTATAACTGCTATCAAATATAACAAGGTGAAAGCATGCAAGCATCAAATTTGGCATGCCAAATGAAAATGCCATATCCAAGCAATTCCTTGCAACCAACATCTTAAAACATCCCTAGTCCCTTCATCATGGAGTCGAGAAAACTCGAGAGTCTCCATTACCATCATCACAACATCCTGTAGCACAAAGATGATAATATCAGCCATTGCATCACATAGTAGTATAAGTTCAAGCAACATTAGTTGTATCAGCATGACAAGAAAATAGTAAAAAAGAGGGGGAGACAAGAGTCCCATCCCTTCAAGTTGGATGAGAATCAAGATGACCGATAGATGGAGAGCACTTTCCATCAATTGTTGCAAGAATCATTGAAAGAGGAGCACTTCCAAAATGTTACAAGAAAGGAACAAAAAAAAACGATCAAAACTTTGAAGTGAAGGTGGATATTCTAGAACTTGAATGGACATGAATTTGGATGAGTTCAAAGATTTGTTGCACATCACACGATGTATTTTTGTCTACTAAAAAGCAAAAACAGATCAATGAGTTAAGTTGGTGGCCAACGAGTTGAACAACACCTCAATCGGGTGCGAGAAACCAAGGAAATCAGAACCAAGAAGGTAAAAGCAAGATCTCTTTTATTTTCGTCAATATGCCTTTCTTAAACTAACATTCAATAGCAAGGTTCTGTGTAGAGGTACACTAACAAATTTGGACAGCTTCTGTGGAAATGTAATATTGGAATCATAGAAGAGTATCATTGCAGGTTTCTCGGGTGGCATGCAATCACAACTGCCAAGGGTAATTTCTGAATCATTTCAAGCTTCAAGACTGGGAATTTTGCAGGACTTGAACCCAAAGCGGTCCTTTCTGAATCATCAAACCCAATACCAGAAATTCCTACAAGTTTGACTTGTCAAAAGTTACCAACATATTTCCAATCATTAAGGCATCAATTTTATGGATCTCCCCACTATGAGAAGAACAAATACAAGCAAATAAATAGAAGACTTCTTCAACCTAAGAAAAATTAAAAAAATTTAAAGGGGCCAAAAGCATAACTTTCTTCTTTATTAAGGACTATTTTTATTTTTTCCCTGTAAGTAGTCAGTGCATTCACAGCGTTAAGCGCAATATGATGCGATGCTTTTACTGATTAAAGAGTTAATGAGTTGAATGTTATAAATACATATACTATGTGCATTTAATAGTTATTTAATCAATTAAATGCATCAGGTAATAAATTTTCAAGAAATGTAATGCCACATTCCATAAGATAAATTTCCAGTGTTTTGAAAACAAAACAAAGAGAAAATCAAAGATATAAATGATATAAATATCGAAGTGATGTAAGAATATACTAATGAGATAGAGTGACAGCCCAGATAACTAGAGAGAGACAAGTAAAGCTAGAGAGAACGAATGAATATGAGGCATTCATGAACATTCTTGAGAAAAGCTTGTAAACAAGAAGTTATCAGCATGAGAAGTAAGAACTAGTGAAACAGCTGAGAACTAGCGGGAAAGTAAGCATGAAGGGAAGAAGCATCCAAAAACATCTAATTCTAGTGGGAGAGACCGAAGAATTAATGAGTAAAACTTAATGACTACAATAAATAGTGCAGAAAAGCAAACAATCACGGTCAGTTTTCGAGGCTGATGTCGAACAAATTCTGAAATTTGAGTCAAGATTTTGTGCAAAGTATGATCCCAGTGCAGAACGCTATGACGTGAGACGCACATTTTGTAGTTTTACTCAACTTTTCAAAAAAAGTTGTAGGTTTTTCTGATTTGGGGGAGAGTTCCATTGAAAATGTGGAGAAAGAAAGTGGTCGCAGTGGAGTCCCGGACTCCACCAATATAAATCTTGAAACTTAGAAGGCTCTCTCTGGTGGCTTTCAAGGGTGTTGTAGCAGGGAGCAGAGAAAGACACTGCCACGAAATTAAAAAAACAAATTATGAAGAAGGCTCTCAGCAGGCTTTTTACAAGTGGAATTCACAAGTTATTTCAATTCTTTGTAGTTCAGAATTGTCTTGTTGTAGGTGCAATTAAGTGGTGGTCTCAATCAAAAAAGTTAACATGCCCAAACAGAAGGTTTTCCCAAATAAAGAAGCTTGGCCACTAAAAGGCTCCATAGCTGTCTATCAATTAAATTAAGAGGCTGGCAAGCAAAAATAGAGTGGGCTCCTGAACTCATTTCCTAAAGCAGTAAAGAGGTCCTTGGAGCTAAAGAGAGAATCTTAAGACTGTCAGAACTTTGCACTATTGGAATTAGATGAAAATAACAGAAGACGCTCCGGGTGTTTATTGTTGATAAAGAAGGCAACAATAAAAACCAAGAGCCTTGAAAATCTCAGCCAATAATAGAGACATTAAATTTCTGTTAAAATCAAAAGCGGGAATGTTGAATAGCTTTCGAAATCAAGAATATGGGTTCCCACAACTTTTGGCCAATATTTTTGCTGTGTGGAAGGTGGGGTTACTACAATTTTAACAAAAACCTTGCCAACAGCTGGGATCTTGTACTATAAAAAAGATTCTTGACATTGTCTAGTCCTACAAGAAACTTTATTAATCTTTCTTGATTTTTCCTCCGATCTCACCAACCTAAACTTTAAAACAAAAATTTTTATTCTTTGACTCGAGCGTAATTCTAAGTAAGTCAATAATGTTCATTTTCAAATCATTTTTCTATTTGATTAGAGTGAAGTTTATTTATTTAAAAAAAATTATATTAAAGTATTTTAAATCAAAACACAAAAATATTTAAAATTACTCGATGTGTCAAAGATAATAAGAGGATCTACATTTGATTTTTATTGAATTAGAAAAAGCTTACGATAAGGGTCCAAGAGATGTCCTTTGGAGCGTTCTTGAGAAGAAAGGTGTTGGTAGGACTTATATTCAAGTCATTAAAGATATGTATACTAGAGTTGTTACTTGTGTTCGAACTGAAGAAGGATTGACCAAATATTTTCCTATTTCTGTTGGATTACATCAGGGATCGGCTTGGTGAATATTTTTTGCTTTAGTTATGGATGGTCTTATTGGACATTTACAAGAGGATGTACTTTGGTGTATGCTTTTTGCTAATGATATCCTTCTTGTGGATAAGACGAGAAAAAATCGAGGAAAAACTTGAATTAAGGAGGACTACATTGGAGTCTAAAGGCCTTCATTTGAGTAGAACTAAAACTGAATACATGGAATGTAATTTTAGTAATAGTAGTAGTAGCTCTAGTGACTAAAGTGTAACTTTGGGTGATCAAATTATTAAAATGTGTGAACGATTTAGATATCTCGGGTCTGTTGTTCAAAGCAATGGTGACATAAATGGGGATGCTAATAGTAAAATTCAAGTTGATTAGTTGAAATGGAGGAATGCTTCGGGCCTTTTGTGTGATAGAAAAGTACCGCTTAGACTGAAAGGAAAATTTTATAAGAGGGTGGTGAGAACTGCAATGCTCTATGGCGCTGAATGTTGGCCTTTAAAAGAGAAGCATAATACTAAGTTGAGTGTTGCCGAGATGAGAATGACTAGGTGGATGAATAACTTTACACTTAAAGACAAAATGCGAAATGAATATATCCGAGATAGGGATGGTGTAGCTCCAGTGACGGACAAAATTAGAAAGAGTCGTCTTAGATGGTTTGGTGACCATCTGATGATCCGATTAGGAGAGTAGATGTTTTAGATTTAACTTATGTTAAGAAAGGAAAAAGTAGACCTAGAAAGACTTGGGCTTATTGTATAAAAAATGATAGTAATTTATTAGAACTAAATGAAAATATGACACTAAATAGGACACAATGGAGAAAAAGGATTCATGTAGCCGACCCTAAGTAGTGGGATAAACTCTTTGTTGTTGTTGTTGTTGTTGTCGCCAACCTTTTAGTTTCTACCAAACCAAAAATATTCATTTTTCTTCCAATAATTGTGCCATTGCCCACCAATATTGTTGTCTTCTCATTCAAAATTCTAAAACTCCATAAAAACTAAATCTTACTTTTAGATCTACACATACCTTGCTCACTTTTTGCTAAAATTGGATTAAACTGTGTCAAGCCACTTAAGTGAAATGCGCATAAGCCAATTCAACCTCCCCTACCATGGTCGAAATCGAAATGAAAGGACTCTTTTGCCCTGAGGAATTATTGCAGAATCATCATAAATTGTTGATTCTTATCCAATCATATAATAAAGAGTTCCATAGTTAGTTTTATCTATTTTATGTTACATTATGCCATGCTTCACTTAATACAATTAGGACATGCTGACCTCAAATTCTTGTGGAAGTTTTTATTATTTTGGTCATCATTAATATAAAAAAAGTTCCATTGCATGTATTAGGTTTATGGCTAATTATAGATAATTGAAAATTTTATGGTTGATCTCTGACCTACCCTCTCTATATCTCTCTTTCTTTCTCTCTCTATTTCTTTTACCATCCCTATCTCTAGTTGAGCGGATTCAATGCATCCGCTCTTTTGTATCCCTAGGCAAAGTCAAGAATACAAATTTGTTTGCTCCATCATCGCGTCTCTCTTTGTAGTATACAAAATATTCGATAAATAGAGCCAACAATGTATAAATTAAATGAGTTTATCATGCAAGATAAGTTTAGCGTATATAAGAGAAAAATAGAGGGAAAATTTTATAGAAAAAATAACAAATAATGAGCAAAGTGAAGGAGAGAGTTTCATGAGCGAGAGACAGTAAGGGATAGAAGGAAAAGACAAAGTAGAGTAGCAATTATTACAATTTCTCATGATCATGCGCATCCATACACAGGCTCCCTCCCTCCCTCTCTTTCTCTCTCTCTCTCTCTCTCTCTCTCTCTCTCTCTCTCTCTCTCTCGCTCGCTCCGTTTTCCACTTCATCCTCCCACCCCAACCCCAATTCCTAGAGAAATTAGTAGGTGTGGATTACGGAGAGGAGTGGACAAGAGAGGAACAAGTTGAAGAGCAAAAACCTTCGAATGTTTGCCATAGACATTGAATAGAGGATTACAAGTACTATTATATAAGGTTTGCATCTATATAAACCAAGTATGAGCCACCAGAACAAAAAAAAAATGAAAGCAGAACATTACCAGGGCATATCATACCTGACGGACAAAGGTCCACTTGGTATGAGCTGCATTTAGGGACTGCTTTTGCACGTAGGAATGCGAAACCTTGCTCCCCTCCTCCAACAGAATCTCCACCACCGAATTCGACCAATATCTATTCCCCTCGCCACTCTCCACCCCGAGATGCTCCTCCACAATGGCCAACTCAGCCCCTTTCCCCACCACCACCAAAATCCTTGGGTTTGACAGCGGTAACCTCCCTGATCTTGCCTCCGCCGCGTCAACCACGCAAAACCTCAAATGCAAGGGTTCTTCAATCATCCGTTCTCCATCAGGAATATAAACCACCGCTAAATCAGGGGCCCCAAACCCGTTCAAGTTCCAGAACAGATCTCCGTTGTGGAATAGCTCGCCAGCGGCTGCAATGACAGCTTCGTATAGTGCACCCGAAGGAATATCAGCGACGCTTCCGGCAAATGCTTTAGCGGGGAGTGATGGAAGTCTGGAGAGGGAAGGTACAACGTGTCCGTCGACAATTGTGATTATATTGGAAGCAGAAGAGGACAATGAAAGGGAGATAATGGACGGCTGAGAAGCGGGAATAATTTGGGAGGATTTGAGGAAGGAAGTGTCCGTGAAACGATAGGGTTCGTCTTTGGGGGAGGGCCATCGTTGGGAAAGAAGGGATTGGGAGGAGGAGTCGCGGAGTTTTTGAAGGAGGGAGGAGGACGAGGATCGGTAAGAGGAGACTGAGTCCTCGAGCTTGTCGGCAATGTCGAGGACGAAAGGATCGGAGAGGGATACAGAAGCGTGGTTGGCGGCGACTCTGGATTTACGGCGGCGGGGACGGTTCAAGCGTAGAAGGGCAAAGGAAGAGGCGAAATTGGAGGAGCAGCAGTAAGCCATGTTGCCCAGACTGGAGATGAAATTTTGCAAGATTTTAGGGTCTGATTGGCAGCAGGCAGGATCTTAAATCACGTAAGAGTTTAGCAAACTGTTGAAATTTGGAACCTGTTTTACGTAAAAGATTCAATCGTATTAATTTTTTGTGAATTATTTAACTAGATTAATTATTATTTTAGTATTTATTATTTGGAGCATGTTGAGTGCTAGAAAATTTGTTACCGTAAAGTAATTAATTATCATCTTAGCATTTCACTATAGTGAAAACACTAAAAATTTTTATATGAAAAACTATAAAAAAGAAAAATCATGAGATTTATGATTGTTGAAATAATCAACTATGAGTTTGTGATTACATCTATTTACCCTTTATCCAATAAGCATAAAAAGAGTTATACAGTTGGTTGACTCCATATGGAACTTCGTTGAAACGAGTAGAGGACGACCAACGCTGGTTGAAGATGGTCTACATGTCGTGGTTGACGGTGGGTGTTGATTGCATGAGCATGAGGTATTCATCAGATCTTTGGTGCAGAAGCGATGTTGGATTTTAACTTCTTCTCCAAGCTTTGATCTTGTTCTCGCTCAAGATCTAGGTTCCCTTTAAAGATGAGGGTAGATCTATATTTATAAAATCTATGAGAGGTCTCTTTGCACATAAAGAAGAAATTCATATCACTCAATCTGACAAGCCGGAGAGATTCTCTCGATCGGATGATGTTCGTTGAACATTTAAATACCTCAAGGGTCGATTGATTTGCTAAAAATGAAATCCAATGTAAAAAATTTGCATAGTAATATAAATATAAAGTATTTGAAATACTTTAGAATTATTTGGTTCATTTTAAAGTAAATTTAGGTCTGTATATTTTTATTTTAACATAAGGTAGATTGAAAAATAATGTATTTAAAAATAAATATTTTTGTATGTCTTGCGGAGGCGGCTGCTAGCGGCGGGTGGGTGGACGACTAGCGGTTGCGAACGACAGCGGACAAGCAGTTGCAGGATGCGGGTGACGAGCGGCTGCGAGCAGCGGGCGATCAGCGTGGGCGGCAGTGGGTGACGACGAGCAGGCGACAACAGGTGACAGAAGGGGTGGTTGAGGGCGAGCGAACGGCCTAAGGCAGTGAGCGACAACGAGCAGGGGTAGGGGCAAACTCGCGGCGAATTGCCGTTATAATTTAGTGAACGGTGTAATTCAAATTCGGCCAAACAACTGAATTCTAAATTCATCAAGATTGCTCTACAGTGTAAATTTGAATTTTTTAATATTCTACAGTATATTTATAATTCTTCATACCAAACACATAATTTTCTCAGATCTCTCGAATAGAATTACAGTACACATCAATTCACTCATCCAAAGAGCCCCTTATGGATGTCAAATAGTGTGATATAGGCCTTAGTTTGATTTTTTTCATCGAGATGCTCGATTTGACTATAAGCTTGCTATATTTGAAATATGTTTAATATTCAAATTATGCACTTAAAGCTTTCAAAAAGTGGTGTGACATCCTGATCTTAATTTGATTAAACTCATATTGGAACAATTTTGGTACGTTGTGTTCGTCTCTCATCGAGCGAGTTATATTGATTATAATAAGTTTGCTGAAATCGAGTTCTGGATGATTTTTAATTGAAATTTAAACTTTTTATACTCAAAATGTTTTCTCGAGATTCATGACATACATTGAGATACAAGCTAAGTGATGAAATTTTGTTGAAGGCATAATGGCATAATTATTAAAACTTATTTAACTCAAAATCATTTATTGTAATTATTATTAATTACATTAAACATTTATTTATGATTTATTAAACAAATTAATTATTAATTTATAACAATTATCTATTAATTAAAAAAATATTTTTCAAATAATAAATAATGAGTAATTAATTAAGCTAAATAAATAATATTTTTATATAAATAATTTAAATAAAAATAATATGATAGCCATCAAGAAATTTATATGATCTATAGGCTTCTAAATGAATCAATGCACTTTATGAACTACTCGAATTTGACTTGATTAATATTCGACCATATTTTTTCATATCAATAAATAAAATGAGTTTAAATACATTGTTTAAAACTCTAAACGTAAATAAACCAAATTTAAATATAATTTAAAATTATTTATTATTGTTCATGAACAAATTCATTTGTTGATAAGCAAATAACCTATTAAATAATCTTTATTTGCATGATATATTACTTAAACATAATTTGATTAACTTTAACATGTTTAATAATAATATAATATAATTTGGTATTAATATGCATACAAATTTAAAAAATTTTTTCAATAACTAAATTTTTAATACTTTTCTATATTATTTGATTGCAATAAAATTTGATTGTATTTTATACATTATTTTAGGTTTATTTATTTGATATAAATCACTTAGATGCCATTTTAAAATTTATTCAATTACTTTTTATTTAAATTAGTAAAATTATTTGTTAATAACTTTATATAAAAAATTAAATACTCATTCAAAATTTTAACTTATTTACTAATTTTATATGAAAATTGAATATAAATAACTTTTATTTCATAGGAAAAATTAACTACTCATTATAATTTTTAGCTTTCCAATTAATATAAAAAAGCCAACTAAAAGTAAAAAATGATCATTAAAAATTTTATGCAAACGAAGTATAAATATTTATGTGACAGCTTATTTCAAGCTCAAACAGAATATGAACAATCTATTATTCGACCAAGTTTGGTCAAAACCATTACAAATTATAACTTTAATGATCAGTCACAAATCTTGATGCATTTTAGTAAGAAGTTTTCCATGTTCAAATTCAGTAACTTATAAGCTCTTATTTCAATAATGTATATTTTGGCCGAGCATCTTGATATGAAAGTATCATGATACTGGAAGTGATCCTATTCAAATATGCCAAATTTTTCAAGTGTTATGAACGGCTTTGGTGCGCCAATTAAAAAGTTAAATAGTTTCTAAATTTGGTTTGCCTATGAACAAATGAGCGCTCATTGAGAGTAATCCAACAAGTCAAATACCATCTAATTTTGACGTTATTAAGACACTACTTGAATATTGCAAAAATGAACTATGATTAAGTAAATCAATGTGAGTCATCCAATGGAGTTTTTCTTTAGAATTTAGTTAAATTCATTAAAACAAAATATCCCTCTAAAAAATTATAAATATTCACTCATTCCTTACTTGAATGAGCGAATACAAAAGAAAACCGAGCTAACAACTAATGCGAGACACCCAACATGACAATAAACTTGTTGAAATTAAGACTCAAATGATCATGAATTTGAATTTAAAATATTTTTACTCAAAAGACATCAATATTCATTTATAATGATAACAATTTGTTGCTGGCACTTCGGTTTATAATATTAAAATGTTATAAATTTAAATAATAAATTTTATGTGTTCGATAAATAAATATATAAAAATTGTGTGGCTAGTATGTAATTTTTTTTTATTTTTTTATTTTACACATTATAAATTATAAATAGACAAAATGCACTACTTTTAGTGTTGCTAAATATAGGAGAAAATACAAATAAAATAAACTTTCCTTTTCCCATTAATTGTTACAAAATAGTAAGAAGAAAAATAAATCAATATGAAAAAAAGCAAATTAATGGCACTCTTCCATATGGCTGAGCTTAATTTCATGGCTAACAAAGAAATGGATCATTTAAGGGCAAACGGTCACTTTCAATTTTTAAATTTTTTTATTTTGCAGTTTGTTTATATCTTGATTTGAATTAATTAATTAATTAATTATATATATATATGTATGTATATATAGACACACACACACAATTACGTATAACTAATACTGAAATTTTTATATTTATATTTATAACACAATATAACTATGTTATTAAAACCTATGTATGAAAGTGTGTATTTTAATTTTCAAAGGTAAATAACTTAGATATTTTGGCATGATATTAATGATTTGAATGTTATACATGTAAATATAAAAGTTTAAGGAGCGTTTACATACATACTAAACACTTTTTATTGTTTACATATCTAACACAGCAACGCCTAAAATTTAATATTTACATACATAACAGTCAATTATGTAATATCACATACAAAAACACCACTATCATCTACCTTTTAAAAGTGGAACACATATATTTATGCATAAGTTTAACACACTAAAGTATTATAAATATTGATATGAAAGTTTAGGTGTCATATTTAAAGAATTGTGTGATACGAATGTAAATTTTCCAAAGGTTAAATGTTTGATATGTGAATCCTTGACAATTGAGTAAAACAAAATATACAATAAACCAATTGCAGTCGTTATCGACTACTATCATGGCTTGCCACCACAGGGGTTGTTACCCATTGTCAACTCCAACCACCACTGCCTACCAAATTCCTTTGTCAACAACTCCTCAATAGTTTATAAGTGAAAATTTAAGCATTCAACATCAATTATTAGTTCTGGATTTTAAGATACTAAGTGAAAATTTAAGTACTCAACATCAATTATCAGTTCTGGATTTTAAGATAAAAAATTGTAAAATATGAATCATTATCATAAAGTTGGATTGGGGCATAAAAATTGTAAAATAATTAATAATATGAATCATTATCATAAAGTTGGATTGGGGCATCTAAAATACATAGATAAATTTATTTTTATGAGTAAACTTCAAGATTTCAAGATTTGAGATGTCAATGAAGAAGCAAATTATATGTGTGATAAGATAACAAACACTATTAAACAAGCGACAAAAGATGTACTTTAAGAATCAAAAGAAAAAAATTTTATAAATAAAAATAGTTGATAGTGGAATAATAATATGCTAGAAAAGATAAAATATAAGAAGTGTTATAAAAATTGACTTAGATGTAAAAGCTTAGATAACACAGAAAAATAAAATGTGATACGTAGAGAGTCTAAGCGAACAATTTTTTACGCTAAATATTTGGTTTTTAGTGATCTTCATAATAGATTAGATAATAATGAGGATGAAAAATATATGTATAAATTAGCCAAAGTAAGAGAAAAGAAAAGTAAAGATTTAGCGTAAACAATATTAAAGATGAAAATTAAAAAGTGTTTTTCTTAGAGCAAGATATTCAAAATAGATGCAAGATGATCAACATAGGTGAGCAAGTTACTTTGATAAACTTTTTAATGAAAATTTTGAAAAGATGATCAACCTTAGTGATCTTAATATCTTTAATAATAATAAAATACTTTATTTTTATTCTCGCATTAATTAAAAAGAAGTTGACGAAGATTAAAAGAAAACCAATGGTGGAAAATCAGTAGAACATGATGATATCCCAATTATAATGTGTAAATATTTAAGAGATTTAGAAGTTTCTTGGTTTACTAAAATCTTTAATATTATTTTAAAAACTAAAAAGATGCCTGAGGAGTGGAAGAAGAGTATTTTCGTCCCTACTTTTAAAAATAAAAGGGATGCATAAGACGATGCAAATTATAGAGGAATTAAGTTAGGGAGAAATTAAACATAGGTTAAGACTTGTTTCTCATAATCGTTATATGTCAGATAGGTCTACAATAGAAGCTATACATTTATTGAGAGGTTCAATGTTAAAGTACATAAAGAATAAGGAGAATTGAGATATTATTTGTATTGATTTAGAAAAAAGCTTACAATAAGATTCCAAGAGAAGTCCTTTGGAGAGCTTTAGATAAGAAGATATTACATATATTCAAGTCATTAATATATATATATATATATACTGAGTTGTTACTTAAAGATGAGTGAACAAATATTTTCTTATTTCAATTGGATTACATCAAAGATCAGCTTTAAGCCAATATCTTTTTGCTTTAGTTATGAATGCTCTTACTAGATATTTAAAAGTGAGTCAGGCATTGTTATGGAACTATATAACTGAGTATAAGAAAATCATTAGTTATTATCCTAACTGAGTAGGCATTTTATTTATACCTAATGATTTTCTTTTCTTTTATAATTGAGTCGGGTATTGTGATTTTTTTCATTTCTTGATATTTCCAACTAAAAAAATCAACGTCTCTTGTATTTTTTTTTCTGTTTTATATGTTTGTGTACGAGATTTTCATGCAACATTAGGATATAAAATCTTCCCTCTATACCGAAAATTTTCCAACACACAAAAACAATCAAATTGAGCACCTTGGTGAGATAAATCCAACAAGTACGCAACCCCTCAATTTTTGAAGTCATTAACGTGCTAATATGTCTGAAAATAAAATATGTGTAAAAAAAATTAAATAAAAGCTCATGAATTGAGGTGCGACCGCAAGGGTTCCATAAGAGAGAATGCACAACCCCATCTACTAATTGTCAACATCTACTATCATCAGCAAAATAGATGCTCGCTGTCGCCGATAAAAAAAAGTCAACATCCGCCACTACCACCAATTCTAACACCCTTCCTTAATAATAACATACTTGATTGTCATTGCTAACAAGGCATACACTTGTGATCTCCACAAATGCTGACATCCACCGGTGCAAAGTTGATGCTTGCCATAAATATCAACATCAATATCATTATCAACATAAATTGATTTTGTTTTGACATGTGTTAATGATTTTGATCCTCTTTTTATTTTTTTGCAAGAGGATAGAGCTCATTTTATTCATGTCCACGGGGCATAAGTTGTACACCTTTTTGTAACCTTTTATTTTATTAATTCAATATGCACCTTTCGGCAATACCATCATCAACATAAATGCAAACCCCCTACAATCACCAATTTAAGGTTGACATGCATCAAAACCAAAAAGATAAATAATCACCATTGCCAATATAATTAAATACCAAACTCTAATGTGTGTTATCACTAATATGATTGGCACATGTCGTTGTCATCAAGATTACTGCCCATTGTTAACACCAATATTGATGTTTGCTATTACTAATAAGCTCGGTACCAACATTATTAAAAAAATATTGTTGTTTAAATGTTAAGTACATAGGGTGGAATGAAACATAATGGTATAGGCCATAGCAAGGTTACGCACAATAAACACCAAGTGTCAGTGAAGGTTGGGAGAAAGTTGGCCATTACAGTTGAGTTCTACAATGGAAGAGCTGTCAAATTTTAGGTTTAAGATCCCCAAGAGAGACAATTGTTGACATTAAGTTATGTGAATGATGTTTTGAATGTTAGATATCAGAATTTCGAGCAGTAGAGGAATGGTAGCCTAACTCTTTTTGAGAAAATGGATTTCTTCATTGCCCTGAGAAGGCATGGCAGAGGCTGTAAAGTTGTCAAAAGAACCGAGAAGAAGAAACAGAGGTCGGTTCCCTTATACAGCAATGGTTGCACCTATTGGAGAGGGTAAACAAAGACTATTTTTCCCTCATTCAGCTGTAGATAAAAGAATATGTTACACTTCCAAGATCTGAGAGGAAAGGGGCCGTTTCGGGGGTCAGTTAGTTGTCGATTTTGTAGTGTTATCACAGTGAAGCTAATTTGAAGACAGATAACTATATAATGTATTCGAGAATGCAAAAATATTAGTTTACAATACAATTTTTTTCAAAAAGGATAAAATATTATCATCCCAAATACATCTGTATATTCCTTCGTAATTAAATTATTGCCTCACGTTTGTTTGGTTTTCCCTGTATAGAAATACATGATGTGACCAGGTTGGAAACTAGACTTACTTTTGCTGATGAGCTTCCCGAATATAGCCGAGAGCATCCTGATTGATCGAAAATTTGTTTTCCCACGTGACTAAATGCTCCACATCTCCAATTTCCACTTCACTCCCTTGCCATGCTTTTCCACCATGAAACATGTTCTCTATTTCTTCGAGAGATTTACCCTTTGTCTCAGGTACAAAGAAGCGAACAAATACAACAGAGAGTGCTGCTATGGCAGAGAAGATAAAAAATGTTCCTGCCACTGAGATAGCTTTAGTCAAGGAAAGGAAAGTCATGGCTATTAAGCCACTGCAAACCCTGTTACCAACCGCCCCTACAGCACTTGCCTGAGCTCTTACCTTCAGTGGGAAAATCTCCGAGCTCAGAACCCAGCAAATCGGACCAAGTCCCACAGAGAAGAAAGCCACATTCCCGCATACAGCAAAAATGGCCACAAAAATCCCAAACTTTGATGGAACTAAATCATCTTTAAGTAAAACAAGAGAAAGTGCAAGTCCAAACAGACAAACAGTCATCCCAATTGTGCTAATATAAAGTAATGGCTTCCTTCCAAGTCTGTCGACCAGAAATATAGCAACCAAAATGAACATAGTTTTGGTAAAACCCACAGCAACAGTTGCAACAAGAACCTTACTGTCAGACCCAATCCCTGCATCTCTGAATATTGTTGGACTGTAATATACGGAAGCATCTATTCCCGAAATCTGCTGGAAGCACTGGATGCCAAATCCAGTGATCATCATTCCACGAAGAGCAGCAGAAGGATGCAACAGCTCCTGCCAGACGCCCTTCTCTTCATGCTTTGCCATGTTTGAAGTCCCGGCTGCTTCTTCTATATCTGCTAATCTCTCCTCAGCCTCCGCTGCACTATTGCATGTTTTATGGAGCACAGATCTTGCTTCATCAACCCTCTTCTGCATGACCAGCCACCTGGGAGACTCTGGGATCACAAAAATTGCACAACCAATAAAGAAAGATGGGAGAATGCCAACACCAAGCATTACCCTCCAACTCAAATGTTCTGAAAGGCCAGAGAAAGCATAGTTTGATACATAGCCAAGAAGGATTCCAATGTTAATACAGATCTCAGGGAAGGAAGTAAAGGATCCTCTACTGGCAGTGGGAGATATCTCAGCAATGTATACTGGTGCTATCATGACACCAAATCCTATTCCAATTCCAGCCAAAAGCCTGCCAATCATCAACATAAGGAAATTGGGTGAATAAGTCATTATAGCAGCACCCATTTGAAAAACTATGGCAGCTAAGCCTATAGTCCATTTCCTCCCAATGGCATCAGAGGTTCTTCCACCAGCGAAGCTACCCAGAATGGAGACAAAGCTCAAAGATCCCACGAGAATTTCTTGTTGAACTTCTGTTATTTGAAGGTCCTTTTGGATAAAAATAATAGCGCCGCTCATAACTCCAACATCTGAGAAAAATAAATTCATGATTCAACACAACTTTTCCAAACAAAAAACAGGAAGAAAGAAATTGAATTGGATCTTAAAAAAGTTCCTTTTTTTTTTCTTTTTTTGGCTTTTGTTAGTAGAGTTGGATGTGAAGGATAAATCCAATTCACATCCAACCCATAAAAATCATCTTCATTATCTTCATAGGGTTTATTCGGCCGGCATGAATTTTAAATAAATACCAATTTTTTAACGGGGATTTATTAAATCAAGCATTTAAGGCAAAACTGAGAAGTAATTTTGAATAAACTAGATGTACTAAATTCAAGATTTAAAATAGCTCTGATCATTCATGAATCGGTTCATTTTTTTAATTAGACGTGCACATACAGAGCAAGAAATGTTACAAGCCTCCAATAAAAGTACTAAAAATCTAACCGCGCTATGAAGAGAAAATTAGAATTTCATTTTTTAAATGAAATCGATTTACAGGGAAAGCCCTAGCCAACAATAGAGAGTTAAGAAGTTCGAAATTGTGAAAAAAGAAAGCGTTGAGATTTAGCAAATTGTTAGAAGCATCAGCAAAAAAAAAAAAATACAAAGAGAGGGGAAACAACAAACTAAAAAACTGAAATTCTTTTAAAGCCAATGCGAACTCTAGCATGCGAATCTGCCAGATCTTGAATCCAGTTATACCGTTATATAAAGAAAATTCAAACTCAACAGGACAGTAGATAAAAAACCAACTACTCGTACCATTGTAATAAAGTGGAAATCAAACGAAGAACAGATCGCCTAGTTCGGGCTTTTCATCCACCAAGAATATGATTAAGAAATTATAAGAAGATCTGAAGCAGATAGATAGAAGCTACTGGAATGACAACTTCTCACCATAGCCAAGCAGCACAGAGTTGAGGGAAGCGAAGATAGCACAGACTATGACGTACTTTCTACTTTTGGTGCTTCCGCTGTCATTCGCTCCCAATATATTGCTTTCCCGCTCATCCTCCTCGACCTGGACATCCACTCTCCGATACTTTCCCGCCGACAGCTTAGGAATCCCATTCCCGCTTCCATTTTCCATGGCCGGCGAATCAACCACCCCCATCCCTCCCTCTAGTCGCAATCTATCACAAAACAGCAAAGAGCTTGAGCACGGAGACAGGGATGTAGGAACTTCTGCCGCGGAATGGTAGACAGCGCTTCTGCTCTTCTCTTCCTAGATCTGAAACAAAGATCTGCTCGTTTTTTGATTCGGTCTCCATGGAGACTAGTAGGGTTTTATGGTTCTTCCCAGGAGGTGAATTTTACCTCCACACCTCTTGTTACATTTTAAAATAGGGGCATTTACATACGTACCAACAAATTCCTATGTATTTACATATAAAACACCTAAACTTTAATAAGATCGTTTAGAGGAAATTTTTATAAACGACTGTAATGAATTAATCTTTTACATAACGTATCAAAGTCAACGTTCGTAAAGTTAACTTCCAAAATGTGATTTTGAAAAATAGAAATTAAAAAAAAAATTATGTTATTTAAAAATGATATTGAAAATATGAAACTTTTTTGTAAAAATAAAAGGATTAATGTTTAGAGGTTTATTTTTTTTTTAAATTAGATATTATATTTTTATTATAAAACTTCAAAAAAATATTTAAATGCAAAGTGAATTGTATAACATAGTTAAAATAATATTAATATATTTATAGTAAATTTAGAAATTGATGTGTTGCCGCAGAATTTTGCTATTGGACACAAAACTCGATGTGTTTGACATGAATGTTGAGATGATAAATTTTGATTCAAATTAAAATTCAACTAGAGCTTTGATTTCATTAAACTTCCGGTCAAACTAACCAACAAGACAAACTCGATAATATCAAAATTAATCTAATTCAAGTCAAATCAAGGTCTTATCAAGCTATTTAACCATGTTATAAGGCTTTGGGTAGTTAATTGAAGGGTCAGATGAACTCCAATTTTGCTTATTGTCAAATTCAATGTCTCGACGAGTGGAATCCAATAGGTCAGGATCACTTGATTCCGAGGTCTAGGCCATCATATTGTCGTAAACTCTCATTTGATCAAAGAGAATTAAGGTGGGTCTTTCGATCGGTTGGTTATGATGGTTATTTGCCAAAGATAAAAAACATCCCTCTTACAAGGCCTTAAAATAGTCTCACACTCTTCACTTTGAAGGAGAAGAGATGAAAAAGAAGAAAGAGCTCATTTCAAGTGATGTTCTTAATTAAAGACCCAATGATAACTCTCAACCTCCGTAACTGTTAATCACTGCTCATCTAGTGACGCTGACCACTGTCGATCCCATCCTGCTTACCACCTCCGTAACTGTTAATCACTGCTCATCTGGTGACGCTGACCACTGTCGATCCCATCCTGCTTACCGTTGTTGATGAATTTTGCAGAGTAATGATGCATGTCACGAAGCAATGAAGTGCCTTATGGAGTAACGACACACTATGCAAAGGAACAACATACCCTGAATATGGTGTAATGATATACCCTAAATACAATATAATGATATAACATAATAATGGTGTAATGACATACGCTCAATACAGTATAAAACATATCATTGATACGGTGTCGCGACGCACCCTGAACAAGGTGTAACGACACACCCTGAATATGGTGTAACGATGTATCTCAAATACGGGGTAATGAATAATATTGTATCAAATATCTAATAATAACTCTCGGTGACCACTGCTTATAACCCCCGTACTCATAACAACATGGCTTTCTTCTGACTCCTGAAGTCTTTTTCTTACATCATATATCGATAAGTGATGTCTCTGGGATAACAGTAAATTTAAGAAAAGGGTAGCCCCAACTACGGCCTTTATGGTTAAGTGAAGTTAATGCAGCTCCCGATTATGACCTATGTGGTCAATTTCTATCATTTTAGCCCTTCAATACAATATTTATAGCCAACTGATGCTCTTATAGTTGTCCATAACAAACTATATTGTTATTTACTACTGTAGTTGTCCACTACGACTTACGTAGCCAACAACTATCATTATAGTCTCCAACTACAACCTTTTGTGGTCAATTGATGCTCTTAAAGATAACAACTAAGACATATGTGACCAACTATTACTATGACATTCGAATATGAGCTCTACGACAAGCTGATGTTATTACAACTACCGTCTACAATATTTATGATAAACTACTACTTTCGTAGCAATTAACTAACACTTCTTTCCTCTCATCAAAGAATCCATAGAGAGGGTCTGTCCTAGTTGTCAATCAATTATTGGTACGACTTATTTTATTAAATATTGGCTAGAGCAGGATGTTTATAGAGCTATTAGTGCCAAATTGGGTGCTACAAATATAGTTGTTGTCAATCAATACAGTCACAATGATGGCATTGTTGTAAGGATTACTTTCAGGGGACAAATATTTGTTGGCAAAAGATATGGGGGAATATGAGCTGTGTTTGGAATAAGGACAACCACGCATAGCTCTCTTGACGGAAGCCTCCTGGCTGGCTCAGTGTTAGGACTCTCCGCCTCCTTGAATTATGGCATGAATTATGTCCTTTATTTAAATTTCATGGGCTCAGACTGACTTGTCTGAGTTCTCTTCCAGGCAAACTCTTGCTCTTTTTCTGAAATATATGCAGAGGGCCTATGTTTTTTTTAGGCTTTTAGGCCTTGACAAACTGCGCCACAAATAGTTGCTTGAAATGAACAGATGATGTGATTTCTCTTAGGAGTCTATTAAACCACCCGAGGACCTTCTCACTCAACATGTTAAAGAGGAGATGACATTTTAGAACACCAATGATTCTCAACAAACACATGATCAACTCAACCTCTATAGGATTTAGTTTAAGGAACTTGAAGCTCTTAGGGGCTCAATATAAAACATTTGTTGAGATAATCATTATCCATTATAAGAATATTATAGAATACATAGTATAATAATCCATCTGAATAAATTTAAATGTGAAATTTTCCATGCATGCTGCACAATTTCTATGTATTGATGTATGAAATATTTTAAATTTAATATTTATATTAACAATATTTTAATGTGATAATTCTATACATGGAAATTTGTATTTCATTTTTTTAAAAAATTAGTAATGATAATATTTTTTACGTGACACTAAAAATTTAATTATTAGACATGTAAATATAATAAATTTATTGGCATGCATGTAAATGCTCCTAAATTAAAACATATAACCCACTTTCCCTTTCTTATGCGCAAAACCCTCACCCAACTCCCTTCCCCATTTCATTCGATTTTGCCTGAAACCATTGCCTAACTTGCCCATTTTCTCTATCGTAACGAAAACCCTCACAATACAGTCACGATTACAGTGGTGTTTGGCAGCATACTATTAATTAGATTTAGCCATATATTTAACTTAAATCAAATCAAACATAAAAAATTATATCCAACCCATCGTCACAGTCACTTTTCCCCAATTTTGTTTTTCACTTCACACGTTTTGTCATTTTTATGACATAAATATATATTTCCTAAATCTAATTATGAAGTGCATTTATTTCGCCATCGCAACGTTGATCTGATAAATTCAGATTTACAAGACTAGATAAATCCTATTTAACATAAATCTACGATGCAACCAAAACCTAGAGATAGCTCGAAAGGACTCGACGGGATTGCCACTTACAAAGATCCCCAAAACTTCCATCTTACTCCTCCTGCTTCACTCCTGCTCAAACAATTGAGGAAGGTAGCCCTCATCTTTCTCCCCTTCCTCCTACCTCTTTTAAGCGCTTCGACTCCTCTAAATTCAGTAAATTCATTTTCCAACAAGAGTTTTTAAATCTAGAATTTAAATTAAAACGAGTAAGAAACAGGATTGAAGAATCTGTAGGATTTTAAATCATTAAATCATATTGTATTATACCTTAAGGGAATGTATCACAATATATTAGATTTAAGTTAGTAGGATTTAATAAACCCTGTAAATCTACATTTAATAAATCCTTGAAAGTGTAAATCTAAAAAATTATTTGGCAACAAATTTAGTAAATTCGATCAAATATTGCGAAACAGCTTGGTAATTTATGTGAAGATTTTAAAAATTGTTATGTTTATTATAATTAATATTTTATTATTTTTTTATTATAATAAAAAATAATTATTTAAATTAAATTAATTTAATTTAAATACTATTTATGATTATCATAGTTAATAATTATTATTCACTAAAATAATTAATTATTAAAATTTTTTGTAAAATTAATTACTTATCAAGTAATTATTTAAAATTAATTAATTATTAATTATATTAATTAGGAATGTATTTTAAATTGATTAACTACTAAATAATTTAGATTTTAAAATGTATTTTTTAATTGAATAATTACATATAAATTTATCTAATCAAAATAAATTTGATAATATATCAATACAAAATTAATTATTAATCAATTAAATTAATAAAATGACCTAAAATAATAATTCCATCTCCACTTCCACTATTCTTAAAAAAAATTTACATGCAAAGTCCAAAGATTACTCTGGATCTGGACTCCAATAACACAATCAAAGAGAACCAAAGAGTAATGGGTCCTATTTTAGGGGAAATTTTTCTATCCTGACTCCGAACATGACTCTACGTGCGAAATCCAATAATATGTTATGTGTGATACATTGTGGAGATTATTTCGGGGTTATTTAAGTGAAACCACTGAGATTATTTCGAGGTTATTTCATGGTTATTGAAGAGAAACTCATATATTTTAATTCAATAACTCTGAAATAAAATTGCTGTGTTTATTTTTTTTGTTAATGAAGATAAAATCATATATTTAACTTCAATAACCCAAAACCGTGGAGGTTATTTCAGGGTTATTGAAGTGAATATTGAAGAGAAAGTCATATACTTCACTTCAATAACATCAAAATAATATTGTGGAAGTTACTTTGTGGTTATTTCAACATTATTGAAAAGAAACTCATATAATTTACTTCAAAAACTCTCAAATAATCTCCGCGAGTTATTTCAGAATTATTGAAGTGGATTATAAGAATTTCTCTTCAATAACCTCGAAATAACCCCGAAACAATGTCCAACATTCAATAACCCAAAATTAGGAGTGTAAACGAGCCTAGCAAGAGACTCGCTCGTGTTCAACTTTTTTATATTTCAAGCTCAACAAGTGTGTTTGTTTTCGACTCATTTGCTTAGCGAACCGAACATGAATCGCTCATGAACAAAGAGTTATTTTTGACAATCTTAAGCACGTAACCTAAGATGTTAAAAGTTATGACAAAATTTAAATATTCTTATTTATATTAAAGTATTATCTGAATCTAGTTTTAATAATTTTTATTCTGTTTTGTTTAATTAACTTTTAATTGAGCCGTAAACTCTGTAGATCACGACGAGTCGCACGGAGAGCTTAAATTTTCCCTATTTTGCTACATCGCTACGTTTCTCACGGTTTCGCACAAAGATAAAGACCTCCCCCTCTCCTATGTCCATACCTCCTCTCCCGGTTTCGCCCCCCTCGCAAGACAGTCGCAATTAGTGCTAACCGGGAAGGCAACGGCAGGATCGCGGCGTACAGAGACCCGAAACTCCCATCTTTCTTCTCCTTCCGCACTGCTCCTAACCATGGAGGCAGATGAAGGAAGGTAAATTCATATCCTCCTTTTTGCGCGAATCGCCCGTCCGAGATTTACTAAATCCTCATATTCACAGGATTTAGTAAATTCGGGATTTCGGCCGAAATCAATAATGAAATCTTGATTTATCCGCGACTTTATTTTGTCTAAACCGACTGTCTGGCAGGATCTTGGTCATATCCAAGTTAAATCCTGCTCTAAAATGTTCAAATACTGTCATTGCAGCTTTCAACCGCAGCCCATGTGACCAACTAACACTCTGACAACTACCAACTACTGCGGCCACGCCAAGGCACAATTCTCCCACAGGTAATTTGGCCAAATCTTTCTAGTATAGAGATATTATTTCGATGATTCAAATGTTTTCTCCATCTGAAAACGACAAAACGCTAATTTCTACTGAAAGCTTGCTCTCTAAATCAATAACAATATATAAGATCTTTCAGTTCCTTTATTAAAAATTTCGAACATGTTTTTATACCGTCCGCACTTTTTGATGAATTATTGAAAACTCATTTATTTTTCCTCATTAACCCCTCCTCCTCCTGTTCGTTCGAAGCCGGCTTTCCGCGATCCTTTTCCGCGACCTTGGCCGACGCCTCCCACAGCCCGACGCCAGAAGCTCCACCATCTCCCGTTAGCATTTCTTCTTTTTCCTTCTTCCTCCGCGAGCTCTTGCCCTGTTCCAAGCCGTATCTTCCTCTCGTCTCCCTCCCGTCGCTGGTGGAGCTGCCCGTCTATCCCATCATACTTGCTAAAGAATATTAAGTACCATCACAAGAAAGAAGAGCTTAAGAATTTAACGAGTTAAAATAAGATTAAAGTCAAGCTTTGAGTGGTAGAATTGTTTCACTGTTTTATAGAATTTTCCTTTGGAAGTACATATGTAGTTCAATAAAATGTTGTGAGGTCGATTGAAAAGGATTGCCAAAAACCTCCATGTTGCCTAATCTATGATGGCTGGTGGAATTATTGGGCTGTATAATTTCAGAGAAAATATTATAAAAATTTCCTTACTCTTCTATCTTCCCCCCATAATGAAATAGAAAAGTTTATGCTCAAGCGATACAAATTAATATAAGTATTTAGGTAATAACATTTATACCTCTTGAATTGCTTCATTTATGATAAATATACATTTAAGGCATTAGAATCAAATTTATTTCTATTAGATGCATGATTGTGAACAATGCAACAACAACAACAACAACAACAAAGCCTTAATCTCACTACGTGGGGTCGGCTACATGAATCCTTTTTCTCCATTGCGTCCTATTTAGTGTCAGATTTTCATTTAGTTCTAGTAAATTAAGATCATTATTAATACAATAAGCCCAAGTCTTCCTAGGTCTACCTCTGCCTTTCTTAACACAAGTCGAATTTAAAACCTCTATTCTCCTAATCGGATCATCCAATGGTCGACGTTTAATATGATTGTGAACAATGCAGTCGTCCAAATTCTTTAAATGGAAGATTAGGAATGATACTTGTTCAACAAGCATTTTGAAAGCACATCAATAGGAAATTTGAACTGCATTAGTTAACATGAGACCATTTTAATTTCATTGTCTATAAAAAAGTGAGAATAACAAAGTGGTATGGGAAAAGATGTATTGAAGTTGTGTATCCCTTGAGGATATCTGTATTGAAGTTGGAATAGATTCTGCTGCACAAATTATACATTTAAAGAAAAAAAACTTCCAAATAAGCTGTTTACAAAACGCACTAACCAAACAGCTAAACTGCTTATTCAGAACAGGGGCAAAAAGGTCAATTTTTCACAATCAGCTGTTTTCCATAAGCGCCAACCAAACAGCCAGACAGCTTATCCGGATCAGCTGCTCATCAGCAGATTATCAGGATAAGCTGCTTATCAGCAGAAGCTGGATAAGCTGCAGCTGCCCCAAACAGACCCTAAATCAATAACAATATATAGGATATTTCAGTTCCTTTATTAAAAATTTCAAACATGTTTTTATCCAATAAACTTTTAATTATATAATTGGCAATTGCAGATATTTGGTGGAGTTTGTTAGGTTTATATTAGATAATTATACAGGTTAAACATTTATTACCGCATGATATTTGTCTCATCCAATTAGAATTTTATCAGAATAATTATACAATATAAATTTAAAACGAAACTTGATTACATAATATAATGTGATTAGGGTAATGTTGATGATGATCCTTCACTTGTAAATGAATCCTTTTAAAGATGTTGTATCGAAAGTCAAATAAATAGTATCATTCTTTAAAATAAAGTCGTTGTTTATTAATAAGTGAATTTTATTAAACTATACAGATGGTCGATAGAACTGCCTTCACAGGACACAAATGAAGTTGATCGGTGGAAGTTGAAGTTAAAAAAACCGAGATCATTATCAAATACGTAAGTTAACTATCTATTCTCTGTTCAATGATAAAAAATTGGCCAGTGGCTCAGTTTGATTAGTTTAGTTTTAAGATAAGACAAGTTAATTTATTTCAAATCTTAAGGTAAAAGTGTTGGTCCACCTATTCATCAAAGTTTTTAATTCATAGTTGATTATGTGGATGCTGTGCATTTTTTGTTATTTTCTAGTAAGTTATAAAAAGCCACATAAAAAAGGAAAATAATGAGGGGAAAATTTGTTGTGTCATTCCCCACAACAAAAAAGTCACTTGAGTTTTTTTTTTCATAGGATTATTTGAGTATTTTTATATTGTTTTATTAGTTTTAATATCGGAATTCTATTGGCTTTTATTTAAATAAAAGCATTAATCATAAAATTATCCTTGCAGTTAGATCATCATATTTGCTAGCTTGAAGGTTTGAACCCCACACTTGGCCACCTTTTCTAAATTTAGAACTTTGAATTGTATGTGAGGATCGATCTACGAGTTTCATGTTGGATATGGATGACCATCACACGCATGTGTTGTTTGCATATAATATTTTATTTTGATGGAATGAATGTTCTAAAGAACTAATATTCATTTTGAAAATTATCCATTAAAGTAATTTTTGTTATGAATTTTCAACTAACCTTGTTGAAAAGTTGAGTTTTGCTAATGTCTTGTTTCATTTTTTAGTTTGTAAAATTTCTTTATTTGCCTCAATGTTACCATTTTTTGATATCACTCTTTCTCACAAATATAGTAAACACCATTATAATTCTAATTTTATTTTATATCTTCTGATTTTTAAATTTAAATACTATTTGTTAAACTTGGACTTTCATATTTGTCATTTCTTTCTATTATTAGATTTTGACTATTTTTTAAAATTTACAGCGTTTCTGTTTTTTTCCAGGTTCTTAACAGAATCATTTGTGAGGAGAGATGAAGTGAGTTATTTGCTCTTTATTTTTTGCATATATGATTTTGTAGTCATTTTTATAGATTTATCTAATCTTTCTTCTCTTTCATCATGGTATGACAGCTTCTAGGATGGACATATCTTTTAAAGATGCACGAAAATTATGGTCAGGAATATGGCATGAAGAGGAGGTGATTAATAAGAAGAAAAGGCATGCCACTGAACCCTACCAATATTTTTCAATTTCTTTCATTGTTATTGATTTGCTAAATTCTTAATGGTTTGGTTATATCAATTTAAAAATGGCAAGCTCTTTGATTCATTTAAAAGCTCAAATTATATAAATTTTAGTGATATACACGTGAATATCTTCAAAATATATTCATGATAAAAAGCCGTGCCAATGCACAATTCTCCCTCTAATGCAGTATGTATGGACATGTCGATAATTTGGCCACACCTTTCTATTATAGAGAAACTATTTCGATGATTCAAATGTTTTCTCCATCTGACAATGATAAAACCCTGATTTCTACTGCAAGCTTGCTCTCTAAATCGATAACAATATATAGGATCTTTCAGTTCCTTTATTAAAAATTTCATACAATGTTCAAACTTTTTCAAGGAAACTTCAATTATACAATTGATAGTCGTAGATATTTGATGAAGTTTGTTAGGTTTATATTAAATAATTATACAAGTTAAACATTTATTACTGCATGATATTCATCTCATCCAATTAGAATGTTATCAGAACAGTTATACAATATAAATTTAAAAAGAAACTTGATTACATAATATAGCCTGATTAGGGTAATTTTCATAATGATCCTTCGCTTGTAAATGAATTTTTAAAAGGATGTTGTATTAAAAGTCGAATAAATAGGTATCATTATTTAAAATAAAGCTGTTGTTTTGTAATAAGTAAATGTTTTGATGCTATACAGATGGTTGATGCAACTGTCTTCACAGGACACAAATGAAGTTGATCGGTGGAAGTTGAAGTTAAAAAAACCGAGATCATTATCAAATACGTAAGTTAACTATTTATTCTCTGTTCAATGCTAAAAAATTGACCGGTGGCTCAGTTTGATTAGGTTAGTTTCAAAATACGACAAGTTAATTTATTTCAAATCTAAGGTAAAAGTGCTATTCATGAAAGTTTTTAATTGATAGTTGATTATGTGGATGTTGTGCATTGTTGTCATTTTCTAGTGAGTTATAAAAAGCCACATAAAAAAAAGGAAGAAAAAAAACGAGGGGAGACTGTGATGTCATTGTCCACAATGCAAAAGTCACTTGAGCTTTTCTTTTCATAGGATTATTTGATTAAATTTGAAATTGTGGATGAATATTGTTATATTGATTTATTAGTTTTAAAGCTACAATTCTATTGATATTTATGTAAATAAAAGCATTAATCATAAAACTATAATTGCAGTTAGATCATCATATTTGCTAGCTTGAAGGTTTGAACCCCACACATGGCTACCTTTTCTAAATTTATAACTTAGAATTGTGCGTGAGGATCCATCTACGAGTTTCATGGTGGATATGGATGACCAACGCATGTGTTATTTGCAAATAATATTTTATTTTGATTGAATGAATGTTCTAAAGAGCTAATTGTCATTACGAAAATTAATCATTGAAGAATTTTTTGTTTTAAATTTTCAACTAACCTTCTTGAAAGGTTGGGTTTTGCTAATGTCTTGTTTCTTTCTTTTAGTTTGTAAAATTCCTTTATTAGTCACAGTATTACCATTTTTTGATGTCATTTTTTTTACAAATATAGTAATCACCATTATAATTCTAATTTTATTTTATATCTATTATTTTTAAAATTTCAATGCTATTTGTTAAACTTGGAATTTCATAGTTGTCATTGCTTTATATTATTAGATTTTGTCCATTTTTGGAAATTTACATAGGTTCTGTTTTTATGCAGGTTCTTAACAGAATCATTTGTGAGGAGAGACGAAGTGAGTTATTTGCTCTTTATTTTTATTTTGACTGAGCTCGGTCTTTCATCCATATTAAATAGATATGTGCATATTTCAATCTTTCAAATTTGGAATCTAATAGTAAGTTGTATCTTGAGAAAATTTATCTCAATCAACATAAGTTTTTAATCATTTTAAAATTACATTATATTTTCAAATAGGCTTGATTAAGCAATATAAGTAATGTATTGGACTTTTTAATTATCCAAACAATCGTGTGAATACTAGTTTTTAATACATAGAATGGTCTTAAAATTGTGCTTGCTCTATGAAGTCGGAGATATTCATATAAATGCAGTGGAAACTTGAAATTCACAATTTTTGTTTAGTTTTTTGTGAGATTGTATATGTCCAAGTGCGACCAAATGGTTCTAAATATTTATCTGTTTTTCATGTGATTTGACATTATTTTTTTTAGTGGCATCGTATTTGTTGTATTAATTTTTTATGTGATTTGAAATTGTATTTTTTTAGTGACATCGTATTAGTTGTATTAATTGCTTGAGATGGATGATTAATTATAGTTGTTATTTGACATTGAATTGAATAAAATTTAAAAGAGTTTTTAGCTTATTTAGTTTGAAACAAATGTCATGATCACTTTTTATTATTTTTCAAATTATTTATGTTTTTATAAATAATAAGACAAGAAATGATAACTTCTCATTACTACATGTTATTGTTATTGATTATGAGGGCTTGTTTGATGCTTATTTTGAGCTCTCATATATTATTTATTTATATTAATAACATTTTCTATGTTTGTTTTTATATCAGTGAAGGTTGAAGTGATATTTATTATTTAGGGTTAATTTCGTATTTTTGTAACTTGTTAAGAATAGTTTTCCATTTTGAACGAGGCCTATTATGAATTGTTTTGAGCTGTGATTCTATGATATTTAACCCCTTTGGATGCTCGAGGATTCACAACTTTTTGTGCTTTTTGTGCATTTAACTCTTTGATGATGGAATTTTTCATATACTTGGAAGATTCAAAATTTACAACGTAAGGGTACATCCTACAACTTAAGGGTACATCCTATATTTTATCTTTATGTTTAATCTTTTTTATTGTTTTCTAGTTTTTTTTATTAAATTATAATTCTGTTGCCCACCTTAATAACTCAAGGAAAACCTAAAAATAAGGCTTATGTGCATGAGAGATTCACTTTTTTCATGAACTTCTAAAGCTTTAGCTTTGAAGTAACTTAATTTCTTTTGACCATTAAGAATATTACTTTTAGGGATATTTAATAGATTAAGAATCTTTTTTACAATAATGATTGCTAGTTGCCACAGATTGATGACCGGTGCTCTATTTTAATTGAAAATTGGTCGTAGACACAAAATAAACAACTTAACATATTGTTTTTATGCAAATGCATAAACAATAATACTGGGATTGAGCTTTTGTTGGGTGCTCAAGAATGAATTGCTTTTGAAGAAACAACAGAACTATTAAAAATTTATCAAATCATTGAAAAATGACATTTGATTGCTTTTTCATGTCCTACAGATTTGGATGATATCTTTCTAAATAAAAGCACTAGGAAGCTATCTTTAAATTGGTTTAGATTTCATTCTTGTGCACTAAAATTTTCCCCTTCATACTTCTTTAGGGGATGAATCATATGAGGACATAGCTTTTTAATGTGCTTCTTTTGCCACTTTCCAAAAACTTTCCATACTTCAAATTTGCAATGTGTGGGACTTCTAAATCCCTTCTGTACCCCTACGGATTTAAATTCATATAAATGTTTGAAGAGATCTTTTGTTGCATGGAACTCTTGCAAATTTCATGTTGTGATAGACAGCCCAAAACATCACATTTATACAAAATAAAGCCTGATGCAAAATTACACATTTGTTAGATTTATTGTTATTACATTGTTATTATATGCCACTATATGGTTGTTCTACATGCTTGAACGTATAATGTTTATGCATGTAATGTTGATAGATTATTTTTCATTCCACTGTACTCGCATCCATTTCTTTGTGTGTCATCATAATGTAAACTAGTGGTTTTTAAGTTCCGTGAATAGGATTTAAATGTGTTGGGTGTAGCTAAAACATCTAAAAGTTAATATTTAATGTTAGAATTTAGATTTTTGGAATTCTGTAAACATGTGTCAATAATTTTAAAAGCAATTTAAATAATTTGTGCCACTAAACTCTTTTTTTTATTATTATACCTTAATCTCGATTACTTGGTATAAAAATTGAGTTTTTTGACAGATGATAACCTCACTTGACTAACATAATTAATTTTGGATTTAAGTTTGATATCATTCAAGAAAGTGCAGCTACCGTATAACATTAACTGATCATTCTTTGAGTAATTTTATGAGAGATTTTTTTTTTCACTTTTATGCTGTGTCATTTATAGGCGAAGTTCTAGCAATTATTTCTTGCTACGATTGAGTTGGGCTTTTGGTGTAATGCTTTACTACCAACTAATTTCAATTTTTTATTCATTTGATGAATTATGGCACAAATTCTATGAGTGGCTGTCAACTTAAAATCAAACTTCAGTTCTACAAAAATATTTATGCTTTATGTAATCTAAAATGTGATGAACAATTAGTAAAACACCATTAAAAATTAAGCTATAGCTTTTATACACAGTGAAAAAGAAGTACTATGTCAGTAACTTGATCTCTTCACCTGTTCATTCTATTTCAAATGGTTATTGAGTTTGACATAAATGATGTTACTTTTTTGAGTTTGCAATGTTAGTTGTTGATTATTTTGAGCATGTGGTTCCTATTTTTCCATGTTTGTCTGCTCCATATGCAAACTTATTTATTTTACTTTACTAAAATTCAATAATCTTATTTCAGGTTTCTTCCCATGCTATCAAAATAAATGTTGAGAGAAATTACAGTGCATTATGTTATACTATACTGAAGAAAGGCTCCATGATTTTCATAATCACATCGTGTTATCCGACGTGTATATATTGCAAAGATTTTTACAGGAATCATCCAATTTAATGAAATTTCACTCGCTTCTCGATCTTTTAAGCTATAATGCATTAGGCCTTCTTGCTAAATTAATTACTGAAGATGCAAAGAACTTTGAGGGAACCTGTCCAGGAAACTTTGAGGGAACCTGTCCAGGGATAAAAATATTTATAAAAAATCATTTCTCAAATGACTTTTCAGCTGCTAAAGGGGCATTGGTAGCAACTCTTGAGCAATTATATGAAATGTTGAAAAGTCCTGAGAATTATAATGAGAAACAACCAAACGTAATGACTCCTGCTTCATCTGCTCTACCTTCCATACACAAAGGGTTGGAGCTACTTCACAGTATGCCTCTTTTTGCTCTCATTGCTTTGAATAGGAAACTTAAAAGTAAAAAGACGATTTTTACGTTTCCACCCTCCAAGATTGGCTACAATAAGAATAAGCTTGTTAATAGTATTCAGAGAAGATGCCAAAAACTCATTCTTACTCTAAATAATGAAAATTCAATGCCCAAAGAACTAGCAAAAGTAATTTCTACAATCCATCTCTATTTCAAGTACAAAACAAAGTGTTCTTATACATTTACAACGAATTTCTTCTCTTTCTCAATCGAAACAGTTACCCTTCAGAATGATATCTTAAAAGCTCTTTGGTCAATCCCAAAGATTACTTCTGATCAGATGAAAGCTTTGCAAGCTATTCTGGGTGTCAAATTAGAAGATGATTCAAGCAGCTTTTTGAATGATCTTAAGCAATATTTGATGCAATATTTGTTGGAATGTGATGAAATAAAGATCCCAAGTGCTGTTTCTGATGTTTTAGCAGTTCTAAACCAGAGTCCTAGTAATCATCCTCAAACATGTTCGAAGGAGATGATTGAAGTAGAGATGGAGGCGGTACTGAATGTGAGCGTTGGACTTTATCAAATTGTCTCGCACTTTGTCTCATGCATGAGCACTGATGAGAAGGCGGAAGTGGGTCTAGAAAGCTACGATGATACTATGAGTAATGATTTTGAACTCATCGAGAATGCCTGCTGTTCCAGTATTGTCAAGTATGGATGGCAGCGGAAGAATGATTTGTCCATGCATGGTGAACTTGATAGCACGGGGGATTCAATGCCTCAAACTTGCAGAATTTCTGCTAATAGTGATAGTTGCAGTAAGAATATCAAACATGATTTTGTGAAGAAGGTCAAGAAGGAGCAAGATGACGATATTGATGATCAAATACCCCATTATAAAAAGTCTATGGAAGCATCGCTTCGAAGTACACAAGCGCCAAAAGATTGTAGAGATATCTCAATCAAAGAACTTTGTGATGAGACAAGTTTAGTTTCTTATAGACTTATTGGTCACATGTTGAATAGTTTTTTGCTTGTAAAAGGTGAAGATGTGGGTGTTACGACTAGGTATCATCTCACCGGTGAAGTATTGCATTCTACAATTTTTGAAGGTAATATACAAGTTAATTGAGAGGCTTTGCATGAAAATGATAAATATTGTTATTTTCTGATTAAATGCTGTTTTGATTGTATTTAACGCAGATAAGAAAGATGTGTTAGGTTTATCTGGGGAGAATGTTGGCATTAAGGCTCTTATGCATTCCGTAAAGGATCTGTTACCTTCCATGCCAGAGAGGTGCCCATTTTTTATTGATATTATTGAACAACAAAAAGTTCTTGACAATTTTACATATTTCTTTTTGTTTTCCCTTCACATGATAGTTTTCATGAACGACGTTCTTATCCTCTTACCTTGTTTTTTCTTTTGTTGGCAGATGCATGCAGAGAGTGGAGAAGCTTATGAAGCAGCCTACATTAATTAATTAATTTTTAAAGTTTTTGATGGAGTATGTTATTTCGTGAATCAATAATTAGAGTCAGAAGTAAGTGTTCTGTTGTTATATTGCTATTTCGTGAATCATGCAATCAATCAAGCCATTTGTACTAGCCTTGTTCTGTTGTTATTTGATAGTGCTTTTTGCGGGTAACTATTGTTATTTAGAAATGAAATTTTTTTTTTTTTGGTTGCAAATAGTACTTTCCCCTTTAAATAGTATTTTAATACAGTTATTTATTAGAATTAAATGAAAATATGACACAATGAATAAAAAGGATTCATGTAGCCAACTCCAGCTAGTGTGATAAAGACTTGTTATTGTTGTATATGAATGAAAATTGATTTCTTCTCTTTAATGAAAAAGACCTAATTTACGGTATTTTAAGCCATAATTCTGTACTAACTATTGTCATATTTGGCCCATGTTCTCTTTTCTTTCTTGATATGTGGTTCTATCAGCACTTCATCTACAAACCCAAATTTATTCCATCATGATTTAAAAACGTATGATCAGTTGTTATCGTGATTTTGATTTCCTTGATGCATTCATCAATTTGGGGTTCTTTGATTTTTAGTTTACTGGTTAGTCTGAATGTTCACGCTCCATCTTTCTCATAAAGTCATCCCACTCATGAGACAATGATTCAGTATTTTGCTTCAACTGATTGCGCAAGTTCTCCTTCTCTGCATTTAAACTTTCGAGTTCATTCGAGTTCATTCCTGGGGTACGTGTCAACAGTTCTTTTCACCTCAACTATTCGATCAGCTCCTTTCCTCAACTGCTCTAGTTTTTCATCAATTAGGTTCCATTCAATTTCAAATTTCTCCTTTTCTGACTTCAGTTTTTCAGCTCCAATTTCAACTTCCAACTTTTGAAATCTAAAGCTATCAATCACTTTTTTCAATTTTCTTTCGAGTACATGCAGCTCATTTCTCTCATTTGCAGAGATAACTAGTTTCTACTCTGCACGAAATTGTTCCATCTTCTCATCTTCAAGTGTGATCTTCTCTTTATGAAGTTTTTCATGCCTCTTATTAATTTCCTTATTTTCTTTTTGTAATTTCTGCATCTTTTGATTCGAGAGATTTTTCTTTCTCCTCTAAAATCCGGAGTTTCTTCATTACAACTTCCTCCTTGTCTGAAATGGCATGAAGCTCAGATTTAACTGAATTTTCCATTTTCATAATTTGTTGTTTTCTCTGCTTAAGCTCAAACTCCCAGACACTGCAATCTTTTTTTTTAACTTCTATCTCATCTGCTAGTTACTTCCTTCTCTGCTCCTTTTCAGCTTCAAACTCACAAGTTTTCTTTTAAAAGTTTCTTTTTAAAGTTACATTGATATTCAGCTTTGAGCCTTTGTATCTCATCAAACCATGTTAGTTGGATGCAAGGTTTACTGAGAAAATTCATTCATTATTGTTATTTCTTCTTACCAAGTAAACATTTGCATTTATGTCTGGATGTATTAATTTGATTTATGAAGAACTTTCCTGTTCTTCAGTTTTCACATTTTCTCCTTATCGATATACCGTATCAATCGCTTAAAATTGTTTCACCATATAGTTTGTTTTTTAATTTGATTATTCTTGAATTAGACCTTTTTTTTCTGAGATCATTGGTTTTAATATTGAGAAAGTCCCAACACTGGTTTTAATGCTGCTTCAGGATTATGTTAAGGTAGATAGATGCTTTGGCATCCATAGGGATTTGGATATGTCTGCATTGATGGAAAGTTGATAAAATTAAATGAAATTCCAATATTTTGTTGGTTGCTTATGCATCTGTGGCTGTAGATACGAGTTCTTCAGACTAAGCTTTCAAACTAAGCCAATAAACGCCCCACCTGTAATTGGAAAAATGGACAATTTAGCACAGAACAAGAAAGATAACATTATTGTCATGTTTCAGAATGGCATGCTTCACCATGGCAAGTTAAAACCAATATTTTTTACAACAAATGATGTTTCAAGACTATTACTAATTTACGCCTTAGCTTAAAGTATTATAAAATAATGTTTTTTGTTCACTATAATTTAATATAGATACGCTGGATTTTGTGCGAAAATACAAAAGTTATCAATTGCCTCATTAGCTTGAGGGCTAGATCTATCTGGAATCTTCAAATTATCTGTTGATGCAACATGACATATGCATTATATACTTGCAATTGGCAAAAATCATGGAAGTTTCATTGATTTTTCAAAAATTGGACTGAATATGATCGTAGCTTTTTCTTATGGAGTGATGCTGTCAAACATGCAACATTTAACCTGAGAAGTGTGCAAGGAGTACGCTTTGAGGATAACATTATGATGAAACTTGTTCAAATTGTATTGCTTCTAAAACTTTTGATGCGATGCATAATGTATTACTAGTTACAAAGCTTTTTTAACATCGATGTTTGGAGTTGCGGTTGCTACTATGGCTTGACTCATGTGGTGATCAACTTAAGCAGGATTTTAACTTCATGCCTTGCATATGTTGTTTGATTATCATCTTAGGCTTATTTATAGACCTTTTTTTTATAAAACTTGATGTAGATAGTGGTACCAATTACTCTTATTATCTCGGGATTATCGATGAAGGAGATCATGAAGAAAAAAATTATGAAAACCAGCACATATTTTTAGTTATAGCAATGATTGTTCTTCAATCTCCTTTAAACATGCTAGTTGCCCATGTATCACTAGGCTCCAAGTAGCTATATGTCTTAGTTGCCCACCTATTCG